AAAATTTTTTTAATCGCATTATAGAGAATGTAAAAAATAATAGTCAACTACTTGCAGGTCTTGAAAATTTTAAAAAATGATATGAAAAAGCAGAATCTTTGTCAAATGGAAAGTTGGCTTCTTATCTTTACTAACGAAACTCTACTACGCAAGCTGAATCGATACGAAGTGGTACCAAAATTCGGGTACAACCAGCATCTATCCAATGAAGAAAGCATAAGATATCTCAAGAAAATATTGACCTGACTATTATAGGTGCACGCAAAAAGAGAAGAACTTCCAAAAAAGTACATAATTTATCAAGAAATATTACCGAGAATAAGCAAAATTAGCTGTTTTAGATTAATTATTAAATGAGCACTAAATAAATGAATAAATATATATTTTAAATTTATTATATTTACGTTAATTATTAAACAATAATGACAATAACGATTAATAAAGTTAAAGTTTTATTTTGCGTTCCGAAGTGGTCGATCGAACTATCATGTGATCGTCCAGAGTACAACCTTGTACACATTTTCATTGTGCCTGATATATGCTGCATATTTATTAAAAGCAATACAGAAACAGAGTGATATTAAAAATTTTACGTATACTAGGAGCGGAGTGATATTAAAAATTTCACATACACTAGGAACGGAGTGATATTGAAAATTTCATGTAGTGTATGATAGATTTTGCATATACATAAATGTACAGGCTTCTCTATATGTATAACAATAGATTTTACATAATATCGATATAAAGGTTTATTCTGAATAATTTTATTCGCCTGAATTTAATTAGTCTTTATTAAATTTGTAATTTAATCTGTTATGTTTTATAAAGACTTCCTTTACTAGTATACTAAATCACTATCAATTATTTATGTAACTTGAGTTATTATATTACGTATTTTAAAAGATTCAAATACTTGAGATCTTATTGACTATATGGGAAGGTTATTAGGTTTCTACTCATTTCTGGCTTTATTTCTTGTCTTATTTGTCTAATTATATCTTTATTTTTTTTCAAGTATTGTTCTTTAAGGTTATATCTTGTAGAGTTTTTTCTTTTCTTTGTTCAAAAATTTCTTCATATTCTCTATGCTTGTCTCTCTTTTTCATTCTTATTTTTTTTTCTTTTTTGCAATTTTTCAGTTTACTTTTATAGTTTCTTGTTTGTATTTTCTTTTTGTTATTTCTTTAGAATAATTCTATGCTTTTTATATGTTTTCTTCAAAATAAGTCTAAGTTTTTAATATTCTTCTTTAGTATTTTCTAGTTTTTTTTTTTGCTTTTTCATATTCTTACCTACAATTAAAGGTAATTATATATTATAGATTTATATTTTCAAATTTTTTAGAAATTTCTTTTATATAAATGTAACTATTTTAGTAATTTTTCTTTATATATCGTATTTTTACTAAGCAAATAATCTAAAAAAATTATTATATTAAATTGCATTATATCATATCATATTTTTATAATAAGTAAAAAATTTATTACTAAAAATAGAAAATACTAAATCATTAAACAAATTTTTTTTAGTTTTTATATTAAACTATAATGAATTTTAAGACTCTAAGTTTGCTAAAAGACTATTTATTTATTTTATCAAATAATAGAAATTAAACAAAAAATAAAAAAGAAATGTTTGTATTACCTATTTAAATAAATTTTATGAGAAGTACTAGAAGAATATTAAAGTATATTTTATCTAAGTTTGATACTCTATTATTAGAAAAAAGTAAAAAATAAACTTTAATAAGACTTAAGAATTATATATATAATATAAATAAAATAATAAGAAAAGAATTATAAAAGTCAAATTTGGTTATTCTGAATATACTATAATCTAATATAGTACAATATTCTTTGTTTTATATATTTTTTATAATTTTTTTTTCTATTTATTAATTCACTAAATTGAATAACTTTAGATTATTACTGTATTAGTATTTAGTAAATAGTAGAAAAGAAATAATTAGATAGTAGTTAAAATTTTTTTCTATTCTATTTTTATATATAATTAAATAATATATAAGAAATATTTTTTCTCTTCAATAAAGATATCTTAGTTTTTGAAAATATAACTTTTTATATAATAATTTTAATATTATATTTATTACTTTCTAATTATCTTTTTTTTTTTTTAATAAATATTAACTAATTTTGATCTTAATAAACTTTAGCCAAATTTTTCTATATTTTTTTTTTATAATTTTCACTATTAGAACTATTATTAGTTTAATAATAAGTTATAGATATTTGTTAGTATAATTATTATTCTAGTCTATCTTTAGATTTTAAATTCTATTTTACTTTTTACAATATATAAATATTAATATTACTAATTAAAATATATACTAAAAAGCTTATAAAAACATATTATATAATTAGATATATATTTTTGCATACTAATATTTCACTTATTATAAAACTATATATAAACTTTATTTTACTATATTACTAGTATATTTATTTTTTTAAAAGAAATTTATAAATAAGAGTTCAAAAATATAAAATAATTATATGTAGAATTCATAGTTTAGCAATTTTAGTATAGTGGTTAGATTACCAGACTACTATATAAAAGATCTGGAGTTCAAATCCTACTGTCAACGAATTTGAATAATTATCTAGACCTTTGTACCTAATTTACAGTAAATCCTGTTTGTTTCTGAGGTTGTAATCCTAGAAATCATATTATATTAATATCAATTAGATATTGGAAATATGATATGATGCTTAAAAAGATATAACTTTACATAAATAAATCTTAATAGAATCTACAGGCAGAGGACTTGTATAGTAGAAATTACAAGTTAGATAAAGTAGTACAGATTTCAATAATTATACTAGTTAATACTTGATCCTGTAGTATAAAAATACAGATCAAATTAGGTATAAGTAAGTTTATTTCACAAGAAGAAATAGCAACACCAACTTGGCTTAGTAGCTAACTAAATTTGAGAAGATCTACCTTTTAAAATATTTGAAAGACTACTAATGAAGAGCTACAGTAGGAACTGAGTTTGTATAAATATCAACAAAAGTATAAATCTCTAAATAAACTATAAAATAGGTATAGAATATTCTAGAGTAAAGATCTAATTTGTATATAAAGTAGTCCATAGTTCTGAATATACTATATATTTAAGTTAGTATTACAGAAAAAGTATTAAAAATCAGAAGGCTTAATTAGGAGATCTACAAGTAGATCTTAGATATAGCAATTAGTAGGTAACCTTCAAATAGAACCTTTGAATAGATAATAACTAAAATTATACATATAGCTAATTGTAACCTCATTGATATGCAAAATGTAGTATCTCTCTATTTAAGTATAGGTTTATAAGTCTTAAATAAATAAATATCAGAATATAGAACTCTTTCTTTAAACTATAAAAAAAAAAAATTATATATAGAATTCTATATTAGCAAATTTTATTATATTTTATAATACAATTAATAAAATTTAATAATTTTAATACTATTCAAATTGTTTTATTAAAACAAATTAAATAGTACTAAAATTGCTAAATTTTAATAATATAATAACAAGATATTATAATTTAAACAGATTTTAGAAAATATTAAATAACTTATAATCTAGTTATTAAAATTTAGTAATTTTGATACTAGTTAATATATCTAAATAAAATAATTCGAATAGTATCAAAATTATTAAATTTTATTTATAATATAATAAGATATTGTAAAAACTATTAAAATTTATTAAAATAAAGCTTCTATATATAATTATTTTATATTTTTAAACTTTTATTTGTAAATTCTCTTTCTTTTAAATATTTGTTAGTAAGTATTATAAATTAAAAAATTAGAATATTTTATACTAATACAAATACTATTTTCTATAATTATAGTATAAATTAAAAAAGTAAAAGTTAGCTATTTAAACTTATAGATCTTTATACAACAAATTAGATAACTTATTAAATAAGGTATTTAGATTTAGCAAAGAGATTTTTTAAGACTTTAAATATTAATTGTATTATATTATCTTTCTTTTTATTTCAATTTTTAACTTTCTTAAATCTACTAAATTTGACTTATTTATTCATTTAAAATAATTAATAAATAATTTCTTAACAAGTTTTCTTTTTACTTAATATAAACAATTTTTATTACTCTTTTTAAAGAATAGTAATTTGGTAGCATATTATTATAAGTAAAATATTGAGTTAGAAACTTAAATAATTTTATTTATATTAAAGAAAGGTTTGTAACTTTTGAAAAATTAACTAATTTAGCTCAAATAAATAAAAATCTTTAAGTTATAAACAGAAAGGGTTTATTAGTATATACTTTATATAAATTATTTTTAATTAAATTAATTAAGTTAAAAGGATCAATTTTTTTTAACAACTATTTATAATAATATAATGGTAAAAGATTAAAATATTTTAAATTTATAAATATTTTTACCAAAGAAGTCTATGAATATTTGAAATAAATAGCAATAAAAAATAGATTAATTATAATTATTATTTAGTTTCAAACTTTTTACTTGCATAAACACGAATCATAGGATAATAAGAATTTAATTCTCTTATTTCTTCTGTTGCTATTTTAATAATCTCATCATACTCTTTAGAAGATACCTGCATTATGTTCATTATTTGTGTTTTTAGGTTTTTCATTGCACACATGGTGTTTTCAATTGACTAAAAATAGATGAAAAATTAAGTAAAATTTATATTTAAACTGAATTTTATTAAATTATAAAATTATTACCACTTCTCCAAGCCTTCCATTCTGTTTACCATGATACATATTCTTTACTTCTTGCTTTATATTTTCAAGATTTCCTTGTTCTGTTACATACTTTTGTAATTTATAACATGCATTTATGTCCGCACCACCTTTGCTTACTACAGCGCATACTTTGTTATGAAATCAAACATTAATAGTTAGGCTTTTTTTAAAAAGCAGTAAATAATTGAATAAACAAAATAAATAGAATAATTACACCCAGCAAAAAGACGCGTTCCAGCAGGTCCTGTCTGTTTTATTGACGGATCTGCTTCTGTCAACTTTAGAAATAAATGTATAGATTTTATATTAATAATAAAGCTATATTTGTATCAGTGTCTGAACTTTAATTTAATTTAATTGTAGATAATATAAATATTGCTTAAAAATATGAAAAATAATTCTAATCTAGATGCAAATTACCATTTTCAGATTTAGTTACTAGAATTTTTAAATTTTTTGTAAAAACAGTTACCCATTTATATTTTAATATTTGGATTTAAACTGAATTCTACTAAATTGGATTCAATTCGAGACAAAATCTAAAATTTGCATAAAAATCTGCAAGCTTCCGCAAGCAATTTCAGACACTGATTCATACTATCTAGTTTATTCATACCTCCAAATATCCACCAGGTTTCAATACCCTCACCATTTCATCTACCACAAATGGCCATTTTGATTCGGGATATCCAGAAAATAACAATCGTTGAAATATAAAATCAAATTCATTATCATTAAATGGAAGTCCTTCTAATGCATTTGCCTGAACAAACGAAAGATTATTTGGTTTGATTTTTGAAGGTTGATGTGGTGTGATGTCCAGGCCTATGAATTTGGCATCTTGGTAGGTTGTTGACTAATATAATTGGAATTTTAGTTATATTAGAAATCTATTTAATTAAAACAATTTAACAAAATAGTATACCATTTCAAGTATCCAAGAACCTGCTCCACAGCTATTATAACAGATAATATTTAGAATATTTTATTATGTAAAAACAAAATTATAATAAAAAAGAAATTAGGCAATTATAAAATTTCTTACATACCCAATATCGAGAACCTTTGTGCTTGATTTTTTTAAAATATGAGCAATTGGTGAAGAGAAATTGTTCTGCCATACATGTCTGTATTTCAATAATAAATTAAAAAATATATATTTTATTAAATTTTATGAATAACAGTTAATAATTATGAAATAGTATTATAGTTACTTATTTAAGAAATGCTGAAGATGTAATCTATCACATTCATCGTCATCATTGGGAAATGGATAGTGTACACCTTCGATATTATGAAATCTTCTACCTTCGATAAACTTAAAAAACGCACTTTGGTCATTTGTATTAGTAACATTATCATCTTGATCATTTTTGAATTTTTTGTCGGGTTTGAATTTACTTAAGAAGTGACCCATAATATCGTTTTTTTTTTTTTTTTTTTGCGCTTATGTTAAATTAACCGTGATTTATATATCAAAATTTGTTAATTACACAGTAAATAATCAAAGATAACCTACTGTTCCACAAGTATAGTTGCTGGTGAAACTCTAAAATCTGATTGGCTGTTCTAGTAGAACAACCAATCAGATTGTAGATATTCATCAGTTTCACCTGTACAAGTGTTTCACTTTACACGAGAGTAATTTCACCGAAAATAAAGATTGGCTAGTAAATGTATACAAATATATGCATATCAGATATTTAATAATGTTATTGTATCAATAAAAATGTGTAAATGTGAATTTTTTGTTAATAAAATTCGCAAACAGAAAAATACGCCACTCAAAATATTTATATCTAATTTTACTTATGAAATTGCTTTTATATATCAATAAAAAATTTCTTGCACAAATTTTAGTAGAAATATTCTGCGTTATTTTTTAATTTACGTTGATTTTAATTGTTATCAGTTATAATTTTTTATTTTTTTTATGAAGAAATTAAATTTCGTATGATTGTTTGTAATAGAGATTGTACTCAGTATAAAATTTAAGCTCCGGGTTACCCACTCGTTTAAAAGATCTTTACTGGGTCACAAATCGGGTCATCTCAAATAAACCGAGTAACCCGGGTAACCCGGTTAATCATATTTAATAAAATTAATTGAATTTCAAATTATTTTTAGAGATTGTTTTCACGCGTCGCTTTACAAAATTAATTACATAATGTTTTACATCAATAAGTACTCTGCTGTACTCAGATCACGAATAGCAACTTGTTTTATCCAATAAAGATCCTCCGCATTCCCAATTACTGTATTTTACTAAATTTTAAAAATATAAAATTAACGTCTCATATAATAAAGGTTTTACAACATTTATTAACTAAACTACGGGTAAGATCTTTGCAAGCAAGCAATTTTTCAAATGCATTTACAAGTTAAAAATAGATAGTCTTGAAATTCAGTCATCGACTATCTTATATAATATGAAATAAGTATTATTAAATTTAATATAAAAAATAGGTATTAAGATCTTAAGGTCTTAACTTGCGCTGAATATTTTTGATCGCTAGTTTCCAGAAATTTAGTGTTTATAAATAATTAATATAGCCGTCAAAGTGAGATTAATTCTGGTTTCTTGATTATATATGTACAAATTTTTTAATTTTTAGTTATGAATAAGTAGCTGCGCAACGCAGTTGCGCGAAACCAGGAATGGGAAAGTAATGAATATTGTGCTAGATACTATGAAAAATCTTTTTAAGGTATTTTTAGTAAGCACACTTCAGACATACACATGATTTAACCATTGTAATTCTTTGAATTGACAATCTATGATAGAAAAAGGATGATTGTAATTATTTGATTTAGAATTGACAATCTAGTATAGAAAAAGAAAGATTGTAATTCTTTAATTAAGAATTTACAATCTATTATCTCTTAATGCGTTAGATAGGTGCAGGCAAATTTGCCTGCAAAAAGTTATATATATATATAGCTTTAAAAAAAATTTTATAAAACTTTATATAATATTTCAATATAATATTTATGAAGATTTTATGTTATTTTTAGGGAATTGCTATTCGCACCATGGGTTTTTGCTATTCGCTGAAAAAGTGAGGATTGGTTCTAGGCTAGAACTCGACCGGAGGTTTGGTTACACAGGGGTTCGAATCCAACTAATCTATATAAATAAACCGAGATAATCCACAAATCCAACTAAGAAATAACCCTAGCTTGGATAAGGCTTGAAAGAGGCGAGGATTAACTTGGTCCGAGGTTAGGGTTACTTGGGTAGGTATTTAGGTTATTAGGGTTGGGTCTATGGATTGTCTTGGTCACGTTTGTCGGAGGTTATAGTTTAATTACGATTGAGTTACAAATTGGGTTTCGATTTGGGTACAATCGGGTTACAAATTGGTTACAAATCGGGTTACGAATTGGGTTGCAAATTTGGGTTACAATCTGGGTCACGGGATGTGAATTTATCAGTCGATCTAGATGTCACACATGAAATTTTATCATATGATTTTCATAAAATTACACAAATCGACGAAATCACGTTTTTAAAAATTTTGCCCAAGTCTTAGTTATAACACACGATGTTTCTTAAAACAAAGTTGTTGCCAGAGTTTCAACGAGTCGAACAGTATAAAGAACGTGAAAAATTAATGTCACTTTGTAATGTGCGATCTCTTCGAAGATGGGCAATTATTTTGTCTTTTTTCATAAGATTCTTTTTGAGTTTGCAAGATCTAGGTATGAAAAATGGCTTGTTAGATGCGCACGGTTGAGAACTTTCTACGAAATGCATCTACAAAAGAAGGGTATGTTATAAAAATGTAGAGAAATTTGAGAAAAACTATTTTTATACTATGTAAATTGCGAATTTTGTTAATTAAGTTCTTTTTTTTTTATTTTTTTAGTGAAACCAGCATTGCGAATACATAAAAATATATTCAAGGTAAATTATTTTTATTAAAATTTTTTTGGATACAATGTTTTATATAATTTATACTTTCTAAGATAATTTTTTTGATCTCTTATAGCGGTTATACCACTGATTCCAAATTCAAGTTGGTGTCCAATAATCATATGCCGACAATTCTTGAACTAGCTTATTGACAAAATCTCTAGGTAATACAGTTGAGTTTTTGTATGTCTCAAGTTGTTCTAGAATATTTTCTTCAGGTTGAGTTTTGTATATTGTACGTAGTTTTCGTAACTTGGATTCAGAAGATGAACTGGTTTCATATAGTGGTGCTAATTGTAAGTCTTGATTTGTTTCTTCAATTTCCATGTTATTTAATTCCAAAGTATGCATAGAACTACTGCTTACTTCTATATCTATTTGTTCTGTTTGGTCAGCTTCTTTTTCATGTTTATTTCTTTTGTTTTTTACTACTTTCATAGGTATTAAATTTATATTCAGTTGATTATGTTCTACATCCTCCTGAGCAGTCGTGGGATAAATATCTTGTCCAATGATCATATTCATTTTTCTAATCCCTGATTGGTAACAGTGGAGCATCTATTAGTAGCTAGCATCTGTTAATTGTGATATTTTTTTGAACAAAACATGTGATTCTAGTCGTAAACTGCTGAATGTCACTTTAAGTTTATTACTTAATTTCTAAGTTACTTCTTCATGATCTTTAATAATCTGTAGGTTCTTACTTATTGACCGATCTCCAGTAATTGCCAAAATTAAAAAGTTAAGTCATTCGTTTTCTGCTTGTACTACTTTGGTATTTCGCTTTAGATTTTCTGAATTAGTTTTATGTCCAACTATGTTTTCTTTTATAAATTTTACACTATATGTTTCTAAAGCCTTATTATAAGTGAGATAATGACCTTCTAGTATCATATTTATTAAAGGCACAGACCAAAGATCTTGAAGAAGCTGTGGATTGTATTGAAGGTCTGCTAAAAATTGTGCCACAGACTCAGTATACCTTATCCTTTTTGTTACTAGAAATAAGGGAGCAAATGCTATTAAACTATACATTTGCAGGTCAAAGTTTGCCATACGAATCCTAAGTTTATACAATTTTAGATACTCTGCTTATCAGTAAAAATTATACCAAACTTTTATTAAATTATTGTTTTCTATAGGAATTTCCTCAACTATTTAATCCAAAAAAAAAACATCTAACTTACTACTCACAAAGTTAAATCATACTCTAAAAACTCTTTTTATAATATTGCTAATTCTCTTGCCAAACAAGGCACTAGTAAAGCTGAAATTCAACTCAATACAGATCTATTTAATCTACTTCTATTCTTTACATAGAACCAAATACCTATACTATTTAAAATTTGAAAATTCTGTACAAATATAATTTCAATTCAAATCCTTAACAAACTTCTACAACTTAAAACCTTTCATAATCTACAACAATTCAATATTCTCTAATTCAACAATATAATCAACTTTCAAAATAATAATCTAAATTTATATTTCTTTAGGAACAAAATAATTCTAAATAACTTACTAACAATGACAAACTTAAATATTCACTACTCATATCTATATCTTACATCTAACTACTCCTTTTGTAATCAATATAAAAATACTGAACATCTTCTCCTCTATATACTTTACTTAATAGACTTACAAAATATATTTATAAATCAAATAACAAATACTCTAAATATACTATATATAAATAATACTTTATCTCAAACTATTCTACAACTAATTACTTCATGCTACAACTCTCATAACTTAACAAATATCTTTCTACTCCTCATACAAGGCATAATTTTTACCAACTGTTATACTCAAATAAATCAAATACTCAAAAAATCAACTAATAATTTCTTTATAAATCTTTCAAACTCTTTACTTCTTTGGTTCAATAATACAATTTAGAAAAACAGAAATCAAATATAATACGAGTAGAAACTTGCTTGAAAAATTACTAAAAAAACCAAAAAAATCTAAAACAAATCTACCACTTTCAAAATTTAATTATACTAAACTCTACTACAACTTACAATCACAATATAGACAATTATATTCAAAAATATCTATTACAAAACTACTCTATATTTAACTACTTTTACTAATTATCTTTACTTTCTTCTCTTGAGGTTTCCTTCTCCCTTTTCTATAGCTAATAGTAACTTAGGTTTAAATTAACTAATAAATAGAAAATGAAGATATAATATCATACTGGATAACTAACTATTATATAGCTTTAGTAACAACAGTAGATTTTAGAAATATATATTAGCTTCATATATATAATATCTTGTTATATAAATATACTAATTTCTTTCCTAATTAATATTATTTAAATCTTTTAATTAATATTTCAACTAAATTAACTTTTCTTAACTATACAAAATATCTATTAACTTTACTAAACTTTTTTTTTGTATCAGAAACATAGTGAAATGAAGTGGATGGTTCAATTCAATTTTGGTATTCGTACACAAAATCTCAATTATGATTGGCTGTTCAAAAAATGATCTGCAGATCATTAGTGTAAAATTTTTAATAATAGGTCAAATGATTGACACATCTAAATTTTTATTAAAGAAAATTTGCTTTCTCGTTGTAGGTTTAATTCTTAATTATCATACTCTACTTAATATTCTCTATTAAACTTTAAATAATTGTAATCAAATTCTATGTTCCTGGTTTTAGCACGACAGTGTCGTGTAGCTACCTTATTATTTATTATAATATCAATATAGAAAAAAAGGGTTTAGTACAATTTAAATATTAAAATAAAGGAGATTATATAGCAAGTCAATCACTTGACTATAGTAAACTTCTTATAACCTATGAATAGTTTATCAAATGAGAGTATTTAAATTTGATTAGTAGGTTTGAACTCATAGGTAATTAATTGTCTTTAATTTCTTAGTAGTTGAGACTTTGGAGGTGATATCACTAATATTAATCTTCTACTTAATTAGGATAGACTATTTGGTTTAGATTTTAAAGAGTTGAACATCTCAGTTTGTCAAGTATTCTAATATTCAAAACTACAGTTATTAAAATTTATCAGATAACTAGAACTAATTTAAGTAACTACAACTAACTGCAATATATCAGGTTAGTTAGAAACAAATAAAATAACTACAACCAACCTTGGTATATTAGGTCAGTTAGAATCAGGAACTACAATTAATTTTAGTATATTAAGATTAACTAGACAATTTATAAATAGGTATTACATAGGCAAGACAATAGTAGATGTATTGTATATCAATTTAGTGATTGCAAAATTATAAAAAGGAGTTAGTTTAGTATAATTATTATATATTCAGAGGTTTAATATATCAGAAATTAATAATTATTTAATAAAAAACTTAGTTTTTAAAAGCAAAACTATAATGAGTTATTTTTTTATTATAAGCAAATATGTTCAAATTATATATAGTTTATATTAATATATTTTATATAACTCTTTTTTTTTCTTTTTTTGAAGAGGAAGGTCTTGTTTCAGTTTTTATTCAGATAATATATTTATTACATTGTAATTTTACAAGGATATATATCTTAATCTACTTAAAACTAAAAACTAGTGCTAGTTTATCCTTAGTCTAGGCTCTTTAACTAGAGGAGACTAAAGCCCTACTTAGTCTATTATATATGCAAGTGTATCTAGAAATGCATTAGTAGTAATAAACCTTTCTAACCAAATATTCAATTTGTATTGAATACATTGTTGTTTAGATAGTATGAGTATAGAGTCTTCTGTAATGCTGTTTTGGTTTTGTTCAGTTTGTATTTTCTTTATATCTAAAGTTAAATTATTAGGTTTATGCTATTTTTTGCATCTGTGAGTTCAAATCTTATTGTAGAGAACTTTATGGATCTTATGAAAAAGTTTATGAGACTTTGTTATCTTGGATATATTATTAATAGAGGTTAGCAGTTGTGATATGACTTTAGAGATAAAGCTATAAATAGTTTGAATAGATTTGGCTTCTGAATCTTTAGTATTGTAAAGTGTATTTAATAGTATAATCTCTTTGATCTTCTTAGTTAGCTGCAGTTGTGAGTCTTTGTCTGATATTAGATCTAAACTTTCAGTTATTATTTGTTCTAGTGTAATATTATTTTTTGAGCAGATAATCTAGTACTAGTTATCTTCAAGTTCTTTGTTATATCATTTATATAATATAGATAAATATTTGTTTGGATTTTTTTTAACTAGGTTAGTTATGACTAGTAGTTTATCTAACGGCAGCTTAACTTTGAATGCTTTTAGTAATGAATACTTAAGGCATGTACTTCTACTTGTTGGTGAGTAGTTGTAATTTAGGTTCTTAGTTATTGCTTCATAATTAATTTTTTCTCTGTGTAGGTCCTATTAGAGAGTTCTATTCTGAGAATACTACTCTGCAAGATGAGTTGCATTATAGATATATTGTATGAAATGTCTAGGCTGATATATGATAGTATTGTTATGCCATTGCAAGTAGTAGGTATCATGTCTAGCTTAATCAAAATTGAGAATTACTTCTAGTGGTATAGTAGGTTTGTTATTATGTTAGTTGCTTGATATTTCTATATTAATTTCAAGCTGCTTCTTATAATAAAGTGTATATATTATAAGCTATAAGGGCTACTTTTTTTGCTTTAGTATTTTGTTCCTTGTATTGTAATTGTTATCAGCTAATGTGTTAAATAGTCTTTGTATTTGTTAGGATGATAATATTAATGTTAGCTTGTATTTAGTTGGCAGTAAAAGCATAATTGTTACTATAGCTATAAGCAATACATAAACATTACTTGGCTATGTACTTGTTTTAACTGAGAAGTTAATATTTGTATCTAGTATACTCCAATATGTAACTGGATATTTTATCTTTGTAGTTGTATCTTCTACTATTTTTGTGCTTAGAATTGTAGTTATATGTTTATTATATCTAGTTTGTATGTATATACCAACTAGTTTGTTCTGAATATTTGTTTTAGAAATTATATTATTGATGAGCTCTAGGTTCTTTTTTGTTTTTTTGTTTGAGTAAACTATATTTGTCTTTGTTCTATTATTTGCTTGTTTATTTGCTCTTCCTTCTCTTTTGTTCTGTATAAAGGAGATAATTTCTTCTATATTAGAGTATAGTTTCTTTATTTTGCTAACATATAGTTGTATAGCTGGAGTAGCTTCTGTATATAGTTAATATGAATTCTGTGTAGATTTTAGACTGATATTGTTTGTCATACAGCCTTTACAAGGTGCTAAAAGCTTTTGGTTTGGGTATTGCTTCCAGTGTTTTAATTTGGCTATATTGTCTTTAGCAATAGATATGACTTTGTAGATTGATATTATG